GAACATTAGCATAGTTCTTCTGATACTTAAAGTGGAAGGTTTTTGCTAACAATTTTCTTTATTTATCCTTCGGTAGACCACACACAAAACATGAACTCTTTTTGAAGGTACATGATTTTCTCTTTCATTACCGCTTCATCTCAAAAATTCAGTTAAAAACTGCAGTACTAAAAATGAAAGTCTCATTGTCAAAAAATGGCTCAATATACAAAAGACTTCTCAATATTATACATAACAGATTTTATGTTTCCTTTTTCAAGAGTCAGTTTTCAGAGATTTTTTTTTCTAATGAATTAATAAAAATTCATAATCATAAATGTCTTTAAAAAACAAGACTAAAAAATTGCAAGGTTATTTTTAACAAAATTCTCAAAGCCAATTTAATGGCAACTTTTTCAGAAGTACATCAATAAAGCTTTTTAAGTTTGGACATAACTGAATTGAAATCTTTCAAAGAACACATGCTATACAAATTTTATTTTCTTGCACAAGATTTCTGTCTTGATTATCCTTTAGCCCTCTGCATTATTATTAATATTATTTCCCTTCCCACTACATTATTTTTCAAGGCCTCTCAATTTCGGTATCCTTACTGTTAATTTCACTCAAAGGTGTTTTCTGTTGCCATAGGATATGACAATACAACTATAAAATTTAAATAAACTATTATTCAAGGATTAGAGTCACCTTTAGTGTCAGGATAAACTTTTTGTACAGCAGATGCAGTCACATACAGAATGGCAAAAGTTAATTGACGAGCTGACAAATTTTACAATATTTTATAGAAGACTAACAATATATACATAGGCTTTTCATCTTAAATTCAGCTTCATCATTTACACTGCTTATTAGCAGTCATACAATGGCAATGCAACTAGTTGCAATAGAAGGCAATTGGAATAAAGATGAAAGAAGTGCTCATCAAAAAATAACAACAACAATGTTAGTTGCTTTTTTGTAGAGGGATTTGGAACATTTCTATTGAAAATAATCAATTAAAATGTTTAGTTTGTAATTGACTTGGCACCAAGTTGATAACAAGAGTGGATTTTCCTCAAATCAATTTCCAAATTTCAAGACTACAAGAGCAACAGCACAATACAATTATGTCAGATTACTTTACAAGTACTACTGGTGCCATGTAACTCAATACTATTTGCCATATGGTCAAGTCACCAACAATTAAACTGGTTCCCCCACCAGGTTTTTCTGGCAGAGAGGGTGGCTAGACACATGGCAGGATGAAAATTATGGCCTGTCAAAGGACAGATAAACCTTCTTTCAGGATCAATAGCCAACAAGTACAACGGAGTAGACTTGGGCTCTATAACTATGGATGCAGCCATTATGGTGATAACACAGCGTCACTGAGCAGAGGGCTTTCTAGACTGAAGTTGACAGCCAAGGTAAAGAGTCCTCCCCTTCCACCCTCACCCGGAATCAACAGCCACATGTCCACTGACCAAAGAAAGCCTTCAAGTTGAAGGACATCATCTGTGATCTAGTCTGTATATGGATAGACTCCACCAGAACTTTTGGCTCAAGATATGTCCTATATAGGAATGAATATACCTATATCTGGCTTTCAACCCAGATATGTGGGGGGAACTCATCAGAGGCTCAGTTATACAGTGACCTTCCGACCACATCTGGTTATAGAATTGATGATGATAATAAAAGGTCAAAAATATGCTTTCACTTTTATAGGACTCATGTGTAGGCTTTTATCAAGAAGCAACAATTTGAAATGAAGTGACAGTATCTATGGCAAAAAAAAAAAAAAAAAAAAAAAAATAATTGAATCTACATCTTTTAAACTGAGCAATGCAAAATAACCTTGCTAGTTGATGATAAACATGATTATTCAAGATAAATCTCATTTGAACACCACATATTCTCAAGTATAATGCAAGATTTTATGATCAGTTTTCTTACACACAGTTGCACTATACACAGGTAAATTTTTTTTTTCTGGTGGGGCTTAAAATTCAGGCAAAAAAAATTCAGGGGTCGCTCTATATATGAAGTCAATTTATATACGATAAATACTTAAGCAATATTTCACTAAAATGTTTACTCTATTTTCTAATAACTGATGAAAAAAAAAAAAAAAAAACACTAATTATTCAGTCATTTGTTTTGTAAGCAGGGAAATATTAAGAATTTGAAAAGAAAGATCACATTTTCAAGAAATATTCATTGAAATCTAAACTTAGGTACCTCCACGAAATCGCTAAAAAAAGAGCATAGCTTGATGAAAAAGACGCCAAACTTGCCGAAAACTAAATTTTATTGTCTAAATGCTTATGTTATTATTAAGAGGAAAGACCAAAGTTTTTTTTTTAATTATTTTTAAAAAATTTTCCTTCTTTTTAGAACATTCTAAATTTTGATTAAAAAAACCTTTTTTCTATTTGTATCAGCGGAACTAGTAAATAACATAGACAATTTTTAGCACGTTTTTTTTTTTTTTGGTATGACACACATTAATTTGAAAAATCGTGCAAAAATAGAAATAATTATCGGATGTTAATGAAACTTTCAGAAACTATTCACAGATGATCGAAATTATTATAAATATGTTTTTTTTTTTATGAAAGTCATGGTAGAAATATTTTTTTTTAAATATTTATTACCCCCCCATAACTAATTTTATGAAAACTCTAGAAATTCGATCGCATCGGTTTTAGTGATTACAATAATTAAAAGCACAGGGCTTTGAGGAATGCAAATCATTTTTTTTTTGTTTTTAATTGGATACGCAGTACCTGAAAATCAGCTCTGAATTGTAACATACAAAACTCAATAAAACAAAGATATTATTTAATTTCAAATGCTTTTATTTGCTTTTAGTTGTTTTTATGAATATGGACAATATTTTCTGAAAGCAAAAAAATTTTTCGATGAAAAATGAATTTTTAATACAATTATTTGTTATTTCATTAATTATAATAGATTTTACATTTAAGTTGTTAAAATATTATAAAATTAGTTAAAAAGCCGCATCGGCTTTCATAAGTGTCCTTATGAGATAGATCTTTTTTTAGCGCGTTGTAAATTGTATCATTTTGACTAATCAGAAGATCCCCAGTAATTAAGAAATGTAATTTTGTGCTTATAATCGAGCTGTAATTATAAAATACGGAAGACCAACCAGAATATAATTAAGTTGCGTTATTTGAGTTAAGCATTGTTCTCCGCTGTTAAGGCCTTTACTTTTTGCGAAACACGTGTGGAGAAGTTAATTTGATTTTTCAATTTCAACTGAGAAGGTTACCTACAAGTATCAGTATCATCTTATGAAATTTATATGATCTTATTTTTATATTAATCTCAGTTACGACATTTTTTCCATAAATGAAATATCAAAATTAATAATAAAATGAATGCAAATACAAATAACAGTAGAATGTAATAAATGTACATAAAATTATAGTATTTTATGTACAATTCTGATAAAATTTCATAAGAAAGGTACCTATAAATTAATTAGATACCTTTTCTTAAGAAATATGAAATTTAATGTCACTCTTAACAGTTTTATTTTAATTTCTTTACAATATATTTCCCATAAAGCATCATAAACGTAAAGGTGAAAGCTAAGTAAAAAAAAAAAAAAAAAAATTAGACCGCTGAAAGTTTTCGTTAAAAATAACGGGTAAATAATTTGTTCACGTAAATGTAAATTATTTCACTTTTCTCCTTCCGTAGAACAAATTAGCCTCATGGAATTCGTAAATATATCATTCATCACATGTCAAGAGACGCGAAAGTTTATGACCTGCTTTGTTTTATTTTCAAATTACATCTTTTTGGCACAAAAGCTAAGTTAAGTTTGGTTCAAAATATTTTAAATAAACATTATAATTTCTGATTTTCTTAAAATAAGTTTTGAAAAAATGATAATTGATATTTAAAAAATTTCAAAGTCAGTCAATTTGCTGACTCAAAAAACTAGATTTTTACGAAAAATGGAAAAAAAAAATGGTCATTTTTTTTCTTAATGAATAACAAACAAAAAAAAACAAGATTTTTTAATGATGCTCTTTTTTCGGATCTCGTGGAGGTACCTATCTAAACTCTTTAGGAACGATTTAGAAAAAATGGATAAAAAATGAATTGAAGGAAAATGGACTTTGATGGAATTTTCATTTGATTAAATTTAAATAACAAACAAGAAGACGAAAAAATTTTGTTTTTAGGAGGAGGGAGAGGCCCAGTACATTGTTATCGCCATGAAAGTCATTTGAAATATAGAAGAGTCTGTTCCTAACACAGGATATGAAAACATGGGCCTGGACATTCCCACGTCAGTGTTAGTTATTTCCTCTTCCCCATAGACACTGAAATGCTTCATTTGTCTTCCGTCCCAACCCAACTAACTGGAATGTTCAAATAATCAATAGTAACATAAAGAAAACAAATCTTACAGTTGCTTACCTTGAGAGAATCATACTTAGAACTAACTACAAGCAACTATTGGTATCTTAGTTACTAGTTTTGGTGGTGTGATGACTATCAGCACATACTCAGTGAATAGGGTTCAAATCCCAGATAAGGTAGTTTACATCGACTTCCCACCAATACCATTGGGAAAGACAAAATCCTCTCTCCCCCCTCCCCAGTCTTATTATATCATGACAAAAGTCCTATCACTGATATGCCACAACAATTGATGGACAAGAGAACTCAGTCAAGTCAAGCATTCTTATGTCCTGTGTTATTTAGTTTTTTTTTTATTGGTTTGTTTTTATGGCTTATCAACCTTTCGCAGGTTAAAGTTAGAAAACATTTTTTAGATTTCAAGCATTTTTTTTTTTTTTTTTAGATAATAATGATTTATTGCTACAAGTCCTAATTAACCCATAGCTGGGGAAAGAAAAGGTGGATCTATACTTTTTCTAAAGATAATTGCATGTAAGGGAATATAACAAATCTAACTCGGCACTCCAATTTGCAGTTCCAAGCTTTTATCTATTACACTATCTGTACATCCAAACTTACAGCACTTGGTATTCCCAAGTGGTCACCCATCTAGGTACTAATCAGGCTCAATGTTGCTTAACTTCGATAATCATACAAGAACCTGTGTATGTTATTTAGAGAGGAGATAACCATCTCCAAGCAACCCTCCTTGTCTCCAGCAATGTGACAAATGAGAAAAAACACAGCAGGACACCAACCAACAACTTGTGGACAATGCTTACCAACAAAGATATCCAATTTACAAATAAAATAAAAGACAGAAAAGCAGGCACACCCTCAAAAAAAAAAAATGTAAGGCTATAAAAAATTGAAACTTATTTAACCTTAGCAGACAAAGCAGCTCAGATTGAGGAATTGGAGGGCCAAGTTTGAATTCCAGTCAAATCCATTACATTCACTTACATGCTAATACACTTAGGAAAGGTATGAATCCTCTTCTTCTACCCCCAGCTATGGGTAAATAGCAGAACAGATTGGGTTCTATAGCCTTGGATGGCAACTGGTCTGCCACAGAAAGAAATGGCAACCTACTGTGGGGAAAAAAAATATGTCTTGTCAGTTATGTATCAAAAGATACATGATCGCCTAAGTGTGTATCACGCATGGCACATAACTGACTGACTTTCCACTGCATTCTTTTTGAAGGCCTCTTAATTGCAGTCTCCTTACTTTCTCTCATTGTTGTTTTCTGTTATCATAGCAGGATATGATAGCACAACTATGAAATTCAAACATACTATTGTTCAAGGATCAGAGTCACCATCAGTGGCAGGATAAACTATTTGTACAGCAAATGAAGTCAGATACAGAGTGAGAAAAGTTAAACATATAAATGGAATTGACAAAACAGCTGCCTCAGCATATTTCCCCTCTGAGCAGGTAGAGAATCTATCCTATTCCCTGACAGGTGACACACAACTCGGCAATTTATAGAAAAACAAGAGAAAAATAGAGTTTTGGTAGAATACTGCAGGCTAAAGGATAGTCAGTCTCCAACCTTATAACACTGGCATATCATATAACCTGGGCTTTATAAGCAAGCACACAAACTAAGGAATTTTTGAAGTGGTACTGACTGATACCGGGGGGGCTTGGGTTTAGATGTTCAAAAGTAGGTATACAGTAAGCATCATACTAGTATTTTAATATTGATTCCTTTAATATTAGAATTCATTAAAATTATTTTTAAATATTTTTATTTTCATAATTTTTATTATAATACATTTATCATCATTTTTATTTTTTAATAAATATTTATAATAAATCTTTTGGGGGTAAAGAGGAGTGTGCGAATGACCAGGGAGGGGACAAACAGTTTCAACATGTTTATTATGTTTTGTAACTCTTTATGTCTTAGTGGCTTTACTGCCTTCGATGAAGTGATACTGATTTAAAAAAATAATCAATACGTTTTGTTTTCATTACTGTATACCCATCATTCATGGAACCCTATAACGTAACCAATTCATAGTCTTTTTATGTCAGAAACTATGACATAGCAAGGCAGTGTATCAGTAGTACCCTCACCAAATGTACCAAAAAGTTTAATAACATCCCACCCATCATACAATACAATGGTAGTAACATTCACTTAATTCTAAGTTCTGCTTTTAACTTACAACTATTAACAGATTATTGTTAAATAGAGTAACATACCTTATTTACACAGACTATTTCCTCATCTTTGTTGTAGTTGTTGTCCCCTTCTCTGGTTTTCATCAGGTGTATGTCAATCTGGAGAATTCTGAACTGAACTCTGGGCCTATGAAAAGGGGGTCCAGAAGGTACTCTGTTCCAGGGCCCAAGAACTAAAAAAGGCCACACAGCAACCATGCCACACCAATCCCCCCCTTGAGAGGAACTTTCTCCTACCCCCAGCCCGACATACATTCACATACTCAAACATCATTATACTTATCACACCACATTTATTTCTTTTTATTTATTAGTAATTATTGTAGGCCAAATTGTAGAAACATCTGATAATGCCAAGAGTATATACAGGACTAGGGTAGATACATACATGCATCAATTAGCATAATGATATGACTAGCGCACACCAGAATTTTCAGGTCATCATGTGCCTATAGGTATTATTATTATTTTGTTTCACAAGGACACTTTATATATTGTAATTGTTAGAGAGTTCAAGATCTTGATGCAGAAAACTGAGGATACATGCTTCAATGTGTTTTGGATTACTTTAATATATATGTATTGAAGCATATAATTGTTGGTCTTTTTCTGCAGAAATGTAGTTTACCATTTAGTGGATCATCACATTGGATCAAGGATCCAAATAATGGAAACTGAGGTCTGATAGAACTGCTATCCTATTCTCCAAGAACACGTAAAAAGAGTTAAAGAACACCAGGAAATGAGCGAATGTCTTCAAGTTCACTACCTATCACCAGAATCACAAAACAATTTTATCGCTGAAGGAAGGCTTCAAAATATTTCAGTTATTGTAGATGTAACTCCAGACTCCTCCCACATTGACCAAACCACATATCTGTTTGGAGGGGGGGGGCAAGTGAATTTAAAGGACAGTAGATTTGAGGTACAAGAAAGATTTCTGCTTGTCCACTACAGCAATAAATGGTTGGGGGGGGAGACTGCTCAGTTAATTGTAGGTACCTTAGAAGAGCATTCCAATCCTCTTAATGACTGCAGGGTGCAAGCATATGACAATGCTGTAAACATGGCAGAAAAGTACAATGGTGCTTAAACAAAAATACGTGAGCAGTGTTCAGTGGCAATCTATTCTCCATGCTGTTGCTATACTCTCAATTTATGTGGAAACAATGCAGCTTAGTGTCTACCAGAAACCATAACATATTTCAGAACAGTTCAAGCAATTTATAATTTGTATATTGTTCCAGCCCAAAACAATGGAAATTACCATATTTGACAGCATATAAGACACATCCCAATTTCAGCAGGGCAAATCAATAAAAAATTAGTAAAATTAATAAACCTACATATGGCATACAAAACACAAGGGAATTTTAGTGAAAAAAAAAAAAAAAAAAGTGTGTCTTATATGCCGTCAAATATGGTACTTAAGACACGGACAGGTTGTTCTCTACATGGCATATCAGAAACCAGGCAGTCTGATACACTTCAATGTATCAAACCTTTTGTATCTCACCTTACCTTAGCATTGCAAGATCTATTAGGGCTGAGCTTAACAGCAAAGATAAGGAATTAAGTGAACAGTGTATTAAATATACTTATAAAATTTTCCTTGGTGTATTAATGTTGACGATTTGGTACAAAGTTTTGGCTGCTATAGGTATTTGCAACAGGATGATTCAAGCCAGAGATGCCACACTGGATGGATGTGGAGGTGTTTAACACTGAAACTCTCTTTGAAGATCTGATGATGTTACAAAGTAAATGGAAAGGAATCTGGAACAAAGCCAAAGAGGTTACATCAAATCTTGAGATGGAAATCAAATTTTGCCATGGACGTAGAGACATGGGTCAGGAGAAAACAAGAATGCACTAACCTAGCTAGCATAAAACCAGGGGGTTCCCCTTTGGTTGAGAACTCCTGAACATTTTGGTCCATACAGACCCTCATTCCCAGGTATTTTAGACTCATTTACAATGTTATTGATTCTCTTCATTGACCAGTGGTTAAATCATCTTATTGGTTCCATATTCACTATTTCCATTCTTCTTTCAGGAAATCTTTTGAAAGATTTGTTAAAAGAAACCAGTCATAACGGCTGTAATTGGTACATATGCCCAACTAGAATGACATCTGTTTAGGCTCTTAAGTTTCCCCTACCAGTCTGTGTGTTTTATAGGCTCAAAATCAACCCCTACACCAGGAAAGATAGTTTCTTAATCAGGTTACTCAGTTCAGAGTTTGCAAAAAAGAAAAAAAAAAAAAAGAGTAAGAGCCCTTGAAACTTTTGCACATAGCTTTATTTTATTCAATCATTTCACCCTCATGGAAGGTGATAATGCCACTAAGACACAAAGTTTACTAGGAGTGAAAAAGAATAAGAAGACTTTAGCAGAAACCCAATTCCAAACTGGACACAAGGGATAAACTTCTGCTCCTGTTCAAAAGACAGGGAAGGATTGTGAACCAGTCAACAGACAAACCTATCTACTAAAATTATTAAAAATAAATAAAAATTAAAAAGCAGTAAATAAGAGATTAAATAAAAGAAAAAATAGTAAATAAAATTTTGAAGTTTAGGCAAAGAGACATTAGAAATGTAGAGTCAAACTAGGTGCCTGTGCAATTCAAGTGCATGTATTTAGGTTGGGACAATTAAGTATGCAACTGCCGTTCTTTAATGAATTTTAACTACTTATTCACAGTTTAGGTCATGATGTCTCCTAAAAATGAAAAAAAAGTGACAATTCTAGAAAAGAAATGTTTCAGTTATTCTATCAGACGAAAGACTATTAAGCTACTTTCCTGGTTCATTACTTGGCTTACTCAATACATGGTTATAGAACAATTCTCTTTCAAAATAATTCATGAAAGTAACTACAGACATTGGGAAATGCCATAAGACTTTCAAATACACAAATGGAAACATGATATATCAATGGAACAAATGCTTATCTCGAGAAGATTATAAAATTAACAAAATCAAGAATCAAAAACTTTTAATCCATATATTTTAAACCTATTGTCTTTATTTTTGTATTAAATATGTTCTCTGGCCTTGAGGGTCTCTACAATGGAGTCCAAATAAGAGAAGAGAAAAAATATTTATGGAAAATCTTATAACACTGGAACAAAGTCCAAAGAATAAATAACAGACAACCTGCAAAGAGAAACCAAACTAGGGTATTTTATTTATGCATATACACATTTTATTTTTAATCTGACATATGTTTATTACCTCAAATGTTATTTTTAATGGATAATCATATTTGGGTAGACAATGTTTATTTTAAACACTATTTATTTCATCTACTGCCAAGGAGGACACATGTTCGAATCCCACCTTTCAAAAGACAAAAAACAAAATAAACAATGTTTAAAATAAACGGGGAGTATACTCAAATACTGGTAGCCATAGAAAAAGATAATTAGAGAGCTAGAAAGGATTATTATAAAAATAAACATAATATGT